CTCTTATATTGGATCTCATGTCGCATTAAAAGCACCTATCATGTCTATTAATGGAAAAGTTGTATTGTGTATGAACAATAATCAAGTATAAACCAAAGAGGCACGGTTCTAATGTCATCTTCCCCGAATCCACTAAAAATACTCCTCGTATCTCATTCATGAGGGAGATCGAAAAAATCAAACATAAAAAAAAGAGAATATTTCTCTCTCATTAAAACATATTTAATGGGTGTGCCACCTGAGCTGATTAGCCATCCGAGCTCTCATTTTATTCATATTTTCATATTTTATCATGTTCTAATTGCGACTCCGAAATAAGTAAAAGGAAAAATAATATATTTTCATTGTCCAAAATTTACGGGCAACACATTATTACTAGGAAAAAGATTCTACATATCTTATTTCCTAGCATGATACATCTCTTAGATGTTAGACTCCTTATCGAGATACACTTGTGATGCTTACCAGGATTCTTTTCCCTCTTCTACCACGACTCTTAGGTCGTTAGATCATCATAGAGACCCCGTGACCCACAAGCCACCTGAACTTTACTAGGTTGAGACTATGACCTTCACATGTTCGACCTCCAGGTCGTAACGTCCCCTCAATTGTCCGAGCTCTAAAAAGAGATGGACCTCTCAATCATTTAGTCAGGTCAACTTATACCCTGAGCCAGAGGCGGGCGCAAACTCGCAAGACTGAGGGGACATAAACATGACCTTTACAAAGTGCAAAAAAAAAAAAAAAATATATTCATTCTCTGCATGTTCTTATATATTATATCACTCATAATTACATAAATTCAAATCTAATTAAATATATCTTTTTCAAACAACAACATTTTTTTTCTTTTGCAGTGGATATTCTTACAACGTTGACTTCTTTGTAATAAAGATAAATATTTTATTAGTTAAAAAATTAATGACAAATACAATTTAGTAGCTAATTTTAAACTTATCATTTTAATTTTAAGAACATCTAAAATTCAATATGTATCAAAATTAATGTTGACTTTTGTGAAAAATCGATGTAACTCATTTATATATGTTGCCTACAACATAATACAAATACAAAATGCAAACAACTTAAATTTAAAAAATTCCTTCTGTAATTATTTTATAATATAATTATATATATACTAATTTTTTAAAAAATTTGCACAGGGCCCGTACCCCTACTGACCCCTGCCTAGGTCCGCCCATGTCCTGAGTTGTTGAACCGAACTTCCTGATGAGGTCGAGCTCTGACACCGAGCTAAGACTCTCTTTAACCGGTCACTCTCTATATAACCATTAACCGAATTATTAAGGGTGTTGTTTAACTAACACAAAATTTTAATTTCATTAAAATAAAGTACAGAATATATCCCAACTTAAGTCGGTTCACAAAAATCTATACTTATATAATAAGAATTAACATTTATCCAAAATAGTAGGTCAAATTATGGTCAATATCGGATTTGATTAAATATTTTCCAAAACTGGTAAGTTTTTGTCCTTTTCACACTTCTCATTAATTATGTCATTTTCACACTTTTCATTAATTATGTCCTTTTCACACTTCTAATTAATTCATTAATTACGACATAACTAGTGCGTGGCCCGTGCGATGCACGGGAAAACAATATTACGATTGTATTATAAATTAAATATATAAATAACATTAATTATGATTTATCCATTGTTTTTAAATTAAACCGGGTTGGTCACAGTCCGACCGGATGGACCGAGAACCGATTTATAACCAGTCTAGTTCGCTTGAATAAAATATTTGCTCTCGAATCCGTCAACACCAATCGGTTGGACTGGTAGGATCGATTTTCTAAATAAATTTTGTTATATTTAAAATTATTTTAATTAAAATTACATATTTAAATAAAATAGAGATTTATAAATTATTTATCAATTACTTTAAACATTTGAATTTATAAATTGTTTAGATATCTAAGTAACACATTTTATTTAAATTTATTACAAAAAGTACTATATATATATTAAAATGTTTATAAATTAAAATATGAACAAACCACAAGTGATTTAATAAAATAAATTGATCGTTTCGATGACGGTTCAGTTCTGAAAACCTTATATTTACTGTATATTGATAAATATTATAATAAAATATTATTTAATTCACATAAATATTAATAAAATGATATCTAAATATTCATAAATCATTAAACCTGTTGTAATAAAAGTATTGTTAATACGATTATTTGAAGTTTGGACTACATCACATTCATGTAATAAAATGTTTTTAATATAAAATTTATATTTAGGTTCAATAATCGATTTTGTGTGGTCGAACAAATACATAACTTAGTCACCTGGGACCAACCAAGTTGTGTCAAGTTTTTTTGACTATTTTTAATATCACCTAAAAATAATTCAATCAACCTGGCCAGTACTCTAGTTCAATCACCCGATTGATCCGAAGAAATTTTCTTATTTTATTTACATATTTTTAATTTTATGAAATAAAAATATTTTATGATTCATATAATAAGTCTACACCAAATGATAGTATATTAAGATTATAAATTATATATCTAAAGATGAATAAATTATTTTTACTTTATGCATATTAATACAAAATAAACATAGTAATTTTTAAAAAATTAAGATTAATTGATTGATTATTTAATTTAAAGATTATTTTTAGCGTTCAATATTTTTTTAAAGGCACAAATATAAAGACTGAGATTTTAAAGTTTTTGTTATATTTTGAATTGAGATTTTAATGTTGTTCGTTGTTTCTAAGAAAAAAATAAAAATAAAAACTTACACACTTAATAAATCTTTGCCGGATTTTTTAAATAATAAAATGAACTAAAGCCCAAAATTTAAGGTAGCATTTAATGCTGTATGATTTTTAAAGAAAAAAATAAGAAAAATAATGAAACTTACTATTTATGGGCTGCATTAAATTTTGACCTATTTTTTTGCTACTATTTTTGGTAAATGTTAATTCTTATTATATATACTAGTACAGAGCCCGTGCGATGCACGGAGTGCACAATTTTAAGGCTATTTTATCCAGGCTTATAATTATATACATGAATAAAGAAAAATGTAGGGGATATATATAGTACGTGACCCGTGCGAAGCACGAGATATATTTATTTGGAGAATATTATATTATAAGATGCAATATTCAATAAAAGTTTATAATACACAAGAAAATTGTACAATGTTCAAGTGGAGTCTTAAAGTCTCTTGTACATTAAGACTTCTGACAAAATAATATTTTAATCAATGAGTTTCCTTTCCTTGGAGCCAAATTGTGAATGTGATTTGAGGAGTACAACAAATCGATATATAGCTGACTTGCTTTTTTCATTGTAGTTTTTTTTTCTTTAATGAATTTAAAGATATTCTAAAATATAGCAAAAATTAATTTTTTTATTACAAGTAGGAATTTTACTAAATATAGACTCTCAATCTATGGTATTAATCAACGTTTAAGTCTAAAAAATTAGGAATTTTTACCTCTCTTAATCAACGTTAAGTCTAAAAAACAATAGAGTTATTATAAGTTTTTTTCTACATCTTTTAAAACATTAAATATGAACATGTTAGGGCTAGCTTGTAAAATAATTAATATATTATATCACTAAAATATTTATACTAATAAAAATTTAATTTTAACATATAAATTTATCCCTTGATATAAGAGAAAACAACAGTTTTACTTATTGTTGTTCACCATATAATATTTAATTATTATTTTATTATATAATAAAAAAGGAATATTGTTAAATAGTGTAGTAGAATTGTTATAAAATTATATGGTTTTTTTTTTACAATATGGATTTAATATTTTTTTATGATTTGATAATATAAAAAAATCTATACTTAACTTTGACAAATAAAATAAATAAATCTTTAGTAAGTATTTAATGTATATACTAAATAGGAATATATTTGGTATAATCAAATACCAAATATAATCAAATAAGTCAAAGTGTACATTTTTATTTGGTATTTAATTTTTTTATTATTAAATCTTTTTATTATACTTACCTTTTTAAAATAAAATAAATAAATCAATCAATTAAATAAATAAAATATTATAATACCAAAATAGTAATGACATTTAATGCAGTTGACTTTTCTGAATAGTAAATGTAGTAAATAGAAGTATAGATATGATATTATATTATGTTGCTCAAAATAGTAATGCATTTATTGCATTGACTTTTCAACTTACTAAATTTCGTAAATAGTACATCTTATTATATATGTATAGATATAGATTATCACAAATCATTCCATCTGAGCTTTTATCGTTAAAATGTATAACGATCTGTTATGACCTTATCCCATTGATATTTCCATGAAGCGTCCTTATCGCGTTCTATTTTTTGGTAACCACTCTATATCAATAATCGGATATTTTGTTAATGATAACACACGTCTTTATTTCAAGGAGCGGATATTCTTTGACCTTTAATTAATCTGAACTGATTGCCTTGACTTTTTAATTTTTATAAACTCTTTTTTTAAATATTTCGGCTTAAGATTCTGATTTCATTATACAAGTCATCGAATTGTTTGAATGAAAATGAATGAAAAGAACACAAAAAACAGGTAGCCTTATTCATATAACCAATCCTAAAATATTAGTTTGTTCACCAAAAAGAGACAAATCCTAGAAATCCTAAAATTTTAGTTTGTTCACCAATCCTAAATTATTAGTTTGTTCACCAAAAATATTAGTTTGATTTTTAGGATTTGTCTGTTTGTGATAATGAGGAGTTACCAAATAATCAAACTCATAATGTTGTGTACAAGGAGGTTTTTAATAATATATGATTGTTACCGAATTTTTTATGATTCAACAATGTTTCTTTATATTTTAATGATTTCAATTTCGATTCTAATATTATATTATTCTTCCAAATTTTATATCCCGTGCATCGCATGGGTTACGTACTAATTTTGTATAAAATGTTAATTATTTTCTTGCAAGTTGCCATGGTCAACCAAAAATATCCACGCAACAAAGATATTTTAACTTAGATATTATTATCGTCGCTCAAAAGGCTCCCACTAGAATTTTCCAGATAGCCAATCTCTTCCTCCCCAGAAGCCCATCGAACTTGTTCCTGCAGATTTTTTTCCCCCTTTATAAATATCAATGGACCCACACGTCAAACCGCCGTTCACTTCTGATCATCATCGCGCACACTATAAATAATCTGGCTTTGTGCATTTGTAGGGCTTCGCCATATGCGATGTGAGTCCTGCTGAAAAACAAGAGAACCCAATTAGAGAGTGAATCTTTTGTGGGCTTTTGCGTTGTAAATCAGTTGTTTCTTAGGGGTTTTCAAGGATTAGAAATGGAGTGCGGAGGTTTACCTTCGTATTATAGCGTTCTGGGTGTTGATAGAAACGCTTCAGATGAAGAAATTAAACGTGCTTATCGGAAGCTGGCCATGGTACGTTTTGCCTACGCGTTTTGTATATAAATTTTTATGATCTTTTTGCGGGTTTCTAGAAATTTGTTCCTTAAGGATTCTTGATTCATTCTGCTGTTCTTTCCGGCGGCTGAGATATTTAGCAGATTTTGTGTTTTCATTTTTTCCAAAGCTGAGATTTTTCGCATTTGGGTTTTCTATATTTTAATTGTGTGATTTTGATCCAGCAATGGCATCCGGACAAATGGGCCAGTAGAAGCCCCTCTGTTCTTGGGGAGGCCAAGCAGAAATTCCAGCAAATTCAAGAAGCTTATTCAGGTAATGGGCTTGATAAAAGTAAATGGGGTTTTCATTTACCAGCGAGAAAATCCCGAATTTTTTTTCTTCTTTAGATTCAGATGATATTGTTATTAGCATGAGGTTGATAATTGTATGAATGAAACAGTATTATCGGATAGGAGAAAAAGGGTGATGTATGATGCAGGGATATATGACCCTGAAGATGAGGATGAAGAGGTTGAGGTATGTGTATTAGCATTAATGTTGTTAAATGTTTGTTATGATATGTTCTAATTCCTTTCTTGATCTTTTAACTAATGTGTTACTGACAGCTGTGTGCATTTGGTATCATTTTACAGGGATTTGCCGATTTTCTTCAAGAAATGGTCTCTCTCATGAGTGATGCCAGGAAAGAGGTAAGTTTTAGGGCAAGGCTCATGTTTATAATTCATTTGCTTTTGGGTTTTTGCAAGGTTTTGTTTGATTGCTTGCTACTGTGCGTTTTGGTTTAGTCTTGAAAGTGATGGCATGAATAGTTGTGTGACAGTTGAATCTGTTGATCTTGAAGAAATTTAGTATGGATTTTTTTAACCATTATAAATTGCAAAAACTCCTGAATCTGTATATGATGAACATAAGGGAGATGTCAAGGTGTTAAAATTAAGTGTTAAATTATGCTCTTGTTTTATTTATTTTAGTTTCTTGTTTACTTTGTGTTTGTTTTCTTTCTCCTTCTCTATTTCATTCTTTTAGTTAGTCGAGCCTCGGACATCTTACTTTTTAATTGTTTCTAATAATATCTGCTCTTTGATTCTAATTAAATTGTTTGTAACCTTTTTTATGGCGTCCTAATCACTACTTCCATTGATTAAAACAGGAAAAGAACTACAGCATGGAGGAACTTCAGAGCATGTTTTGGGAGATGGCGCAAGATTTCCGGACTCCTCAGTGGGTTTATGATCCGATGCAGCAACACTCATACGAGTCCCTGTGGTCTTGCGGCCCGTTTAGCTTGCACGAGCCCGAGAATCCCAGAACAAGCTCATGTGAAGCAAACCAACTTCATGGGAATCCTCACTTGGGCACGTCGAGATTTGAAACTTATGGTCAACATCATTTTTGCCGATAAGCAACAAGTATAGCAAATACAACTCTTTTTTTTTTTTTTACCTTCTTTTCAAAGAATGTATGATGATTATTGCTAAGCACCAGTTTTCTTGTATGCTTGAAGTCTGCAAATGGGTAACAGCTAATGTGTACATGTAAATAAGGGAGTGTGAGAGTGGTTTGAATTTGAGGTTCTTTCACGTTTACAAGTGGGATTTGTGAGATTTGTGAGTTGAATATCCGATGAAGTTTCGGGTTTGCCTTAGCCCCTGAATTTTGTTATGTTGTCTATGTGCAGTAAACGGCAAATAGCAAAAATGAATCCTCTTGGGTCAGTGATGCAGGTGAGGCAAATATGTGTTTGAGAATTAGTGTCAAAATAGGTACACTCTCGCAGACTTATTTCCAAAGCTTAATCAAGAATTCATGGAAGGAACAATGAAATAATAAGTACACTTTGGGCTAACAATTTTTCTGAAGAAAAAAAATTGAAAGATATAATCTTATCTTTTCTT